ATCGGTATGCTTCGTTTCAGTTACGTATTGCTAAGTACAATTTAACCCTTTGAGGACGATGATTTAACCTTTCTGTTCTCCAAGATTCTTAACACCCACCTGAGCCAGTAGATCCAAGTCTATGGGCGGCGGAGACTGAGTAGTGGTGGTCAATGGTTCCTCTGGGGGTGACGAGTTAATGAAATCCACGATAAACTGATCTATGGGCGATATGGGTTCCTCAGTCGTGGGTTTGGGCGTGGTAGTCGTCAGCGTTGGGGTGGTGCTGGTCGTGGTGCGTCTGTTGATGGTCGTGGGTTTTGTGGTCGTGGTGCGTCTGGTTATGGTCGTGGGTTTTGTGGTCGTGGTGCGTCTGGTTATGGTCGTGGGTTTTGTGGTCGTGGTGCGTCTGGTTATGGTCGTGGGTTTTGTGGTCGTGGTGCGTCTGGTTATGGTCGGGTTTTGTGGTCGTGGTGCGTCTGGTCCGTGGTGCGTCTGGTTATGGTCGTGGGTTTTGTGGTCGTGGTGCGTCTGGTTATGGTCGTGGGTTTTGTGGTCGTGGTGCGTCTGGTTATGGTCGTGGGTCGTTTGGTCGTGGGTCGGCTGGTCGTCTTGGTAGTCATGGAGATGTTGTTGTCAGCTGGTTCGTCGTAAACAAAGGCTTCAATGGCATATGTGGATGACGGCCAAGGCTTCACCGTGTTGCTGGGACTACTGAAGGGAGAGGTGGTGGTGGTGGGTTGTCGATGAAGCAAGTCTCCAGTAATGTGTTGCAGGACGTCTCCAGGTATAATAGCTGGCTCCATATCTATGTCTTCCTCCTGCATCTCCTCTTCCTCCGTCGTTGAGGTCATGAACGACTCTGGCTGGGGTCGTCTAGTCGTCGTCCAGATTAACAGAGGTATATCCATCTTGGTGGTGGTCGTTGGTCTCGGGAGTCGTTTCTCAGGGGGTGTTGTCGTCCAGAAGGCGAGTGGGTCAGCGAGATTAGGTGAGGTCGTAGCCAATGAGGTCGTCTGGGTCGTTTGAGGGACAAGCCAGTTGATGATTTCTGTCTGAGGTCGAATCTCCATGATGGGAGGTTGAGGGGAGATGGTCCAGTAGTGTAATGGATCCTGTGAGTCGTACTGTGGGGTCGTCGTGGTGGTCGTGGTGGTCGTAGTGGGCTCTGTCGTGGGTCGTGGCTTCTTGGAGGTCGAGATTACTTGAGATATCACAGACATTGGAGGCATAGCGTCTAGTATAGATGGTTGGGGCGATAGTGTCCAGATCAACAGTGGCAAGCTAGTGGTCGTCTTTTGGGTCGTCGCCATGCTAGTGGTCGTCTTTTGGGTCGTCGCCAAGCTAGTGGTCGTCTTGTGGGTCGTCGCCATAGGTTCGGTGGTAACTTGAGTAGTACTTATCTTCTTTGTGGTCGCTTTTGAAGTTTCTGTCATGGTGACGATGTCGTGTGGGGTGATGGTCGTGGCTGTGGTGGTCGTCTCTTCCTTTGCTTGTGGTCGTGGACGAAACATTTCAGGTCTGGGAGCAAAGGTGGACCTTGGGGGAGTATCGGTGATGACCTCGATCTCGGAGGTGATGAGCGATAGGTTGAAGTTGGTGATGTCTATAGGAGAGGGCGTCGGTCTGTGCTGAGGGGAGTTTGGTCGACCGAATACTGAAGGGGTCGGCTTGATGCTCCAGTACAGCAGTGACTCAGTAGTAGCGGAGGGGTCGAGGGGGGTAGTGGTGCTCCTCTTGTCACCAGCTATTGGGCGGACGTAGGGTCTATGTGACGTGGGTTTAGGCTCGAAGAACATCACATCCTTCGTGGGGAGTTTCTCTGGCTGGTGGGTGACGGAGGGTGTCTCAGTGCCGGCGTCCAAGGCAGGATCAGTCACGTCGAAGATTGAGACCTGGTGAGTGGCGAAGCCCTC